CTTCTCATATTTCCACCTACACTTTTTAAAAATTTATGTATTTCAATATCTACGGTACCTACATTAGAGGTAGGTGCGAAATACAATTTTGGCGTAGTGACGTAGGAGTGTAGGTGTAGGTTTATCGTAATCGACAAACAACGTTTTTATTTGTTTTTTATCTCAAAATAATCTTGGAAACAACTTTCTAAAAAGTCTATAAAAAATAAAATAAAAAATAATTTTTCACCTTTCAAGTGCCTGAGTACAAAAAGAGTTGTAATTAGTTTGAGAAGGCTCTACAGATTTGCATGAAATTTTACAGGGCTATAAAAACCTATAGTTAAACTAAACTCAATTGCATAATAGTCTCCGTATATAAATTAGAATCGAAAGACATAAAAAACACAAGAAAGTTTTTTATTGATTTTCAATATTATTTTCCTCCCTTAAAAAAGCATGAAATATTATAAAATCCAAAAGTTGTTGAAATAGGCTGAAAAAAGAGAGATTCCGATTTCCAAATCTAATAAGGGGCGTCGGTGGCCGCAACGGTTTAGGCATTGACATGGCGCTAATTACAGTAAGGTGAAGGTCCCGGGTTCGAATCCAGCGGCCCTGCATTCTAACCCGACATACTTACAAATGGGCTTTTTTTCAAAAACATCGGCACCCTAAGGGTTCATATAACCTCGTAGTTGAAATACCCTCGTAAAAAATCTAACAAATTTAAATTTGGATTATTTAGAGAAATTTTTAATTTATTAAAGTTAAACATGAGGCATCGGAAAAAAATATACCCGCTATACAACCGGGCATAAGAGGATCCTTAAAATTAAACTGATTTTATTCTAAATAAAAATTGCTGATTACTTTACTTTGGTTTTTTAACTTTTTAAATATTGGATTTACACCGGATATGCTAGATAGTAAGAAAAATTTCCCCGCCATACTATTTAACATCTTTGTATAAAACGTCTATTTTACTATAAAAATTCCTATATATGAGCTTTATATGGAGCCTAAAAGATATCCGTTTTGTTTTTTCAAGATTAAAAATGTTGACCTACTTTTATTTTGCTTTTGTGACATTTTATAGAACTAATCTCATTTGCGTATTATTTTATTATTTTTTGTAAAACACAATACATGCATAAAAAAGGCAGAAAACCATATTTAAAAATATATATTTAAATTGCCTAATAAAATATTTTTTGGGTCCTAAAGCTCATTTGCAATAACGGCGGTACTGGTTTTTAATATTTTTAATATTTTCGATTTAGTATCAACGCAAAAGTTTCAATAAAATCGGTCCAAGACGAGGCACTTTCCCTCTAAGCTTTTCCTGGGCTTTTTCGTATGAAGTTACTTCATAAAATAACCGGCGACAAACCATAATAATTAAACTGTAAAACGGCTATTATAACGGTCAATTTGGATAAGATCCTGAGGAAGTATGAATTTTTTAATACAATACCTGATATCGTTGGAAAAAATTGCCCCCAGCCAAAAATGTTAATTTTCGTTTAGTATAAAAGTCGGTAATGGTTTTAATGGAATTTTAGCCATTCTCTAAGGTATGACAACCATTGAAAACGTGCTTATTCCTTCTTTACTTAAGCTTAAGCCTATTTAAACTAGTTTAAGATTTTATTTATTTTTATTTAGTTATGAGAGCTCCTTCAACTTCTGTCATCCTGTTAACTACGCTTACATTGAAATAGGAGCTAAAAGTAAAGTACATATTGCAATTTTGTTGATTTTTCTTTTTGACAGTACCTTCCTTTCATCCTCTTACAAAACTCTGCTACTTCAAAATATAATTGTAAAAAACACCACTATTTTTGTTGTTTCTTCTTTCTGCATATTTCAACAAGGTTTAAGACCATTAAATGAAAAGTAGCTAACTGTATTCAATACGCTGTAGAAAAGGTACTTTCTCATTTAGTCATAAAAAAGGCTTAGATATGGGGCAGGTATGAGAAGGAGCATTTAAAAAGTCAAAAATTAAACTAAAATGCCAATATTTGTAGAATTTTAGATCTTATTTTTAAATATGCTTTTCTTACAGGATGACAGCAATTTTAAGAGCTTAAACCATGATAAATATCCATAAATCCTTTAGAATCAACAGAAGCTTGTATTGTATAAGAAAAATGAAAAGGAAAGAAAAACACATTGAAATATATGAAAAACCACAAATATATGCCTTTTTGCTTATTTTTTACTTGTTGAATACTCCTTTTTATGTTTCCTCTCATACTAACACAAACCCCTGTTGATTCTAGAGATAAAATGTCAAAAAAGCGACATTTGTGGAATTGTCGGAGTATTTTTCATTGTAAGAGCTCCTAAACTATCTCTCATCCTGTTAGAAACACGTCAGAAAATGTTTGCCTTTTTACTTATTGTTTTTTTACATTTTAATTTTCCTCTTATCCTAATACAACCTTTGAATTTGATATGCTAACATGATTAATCAAATTCAATATCGATAACATCATCACATCACACAAAACATATAATATATAAAACAATCATGACATTCCACACATCAAACATATTCTAATTCTGAAACAATTTGGTTTCCTTTCCCTAATTATTCCCGTCTATATAATCCTGAAAGGATAATCAAGCCGAACCATTACTCACGTTTTTCCCATTGTCGGCTCCTTTCGCCTGAAAGAAGCCGACTCTTCATATAAAAAAAGTCTTTCTATTCCTGACTTCCCTCCCCACCCCTTCAAAATCCAACGTGTATATACATAAAACAGCAATTTCTCACTGGCACTCTCAACACGACACACAAGACTGGCACATCTACACGGACAACAAACACTTTGAGCCCTGAAGATGATCTCAATAAAGATCGAAACGTTGGCACGATAAAGAAAATGTTTTTCTAAAACCTACGTCACACCAGCCGCATCTCACGATCCAAATAATCATTAACTAACGATCACTAAACACCACACACTAATACAAACTCTTCTTGATTCTAAGTAATAAAATTATCAAAAAAAGAGGCTTTTGTGCGATTGTCGGGCTATTTTTCTCTGTGAGAGTTCCTAAAACATCTTTCATCCTGTTAGAAACACCGAAATAAGAGATTAAAAGTCTCTTTTTTATTTTTCTTCTCATCCTAATTCCTGTTGATTCTAAAGAATAAAAAGGCCGTAAAAAGCAAAATTTGTGGGATTTTAATTAATCCTATTTTTTATCTAAATTTCTCGGTTGAGAGAATTTGTAGGATTGCCGGGATATTTTTCATCGTGAGAGTTCCTAAAACTTCCCTCATCCAGTTAGGAACACATTGAAATAAGAGATTAAAATTCAACAAATATTTGTCATTGTGCGAAGTCACGATAGCTCAAGTGGTACAGCTGCGGCGTATTTAGCCCAAGGTCGTGTGTTCGAATCCCGCTCGTGACATTGACTTTTTTTAATCTCATCCAATACCTTGCATAAATATTAAGTAATTGAAATTTGTCATTGTGTTCATTTTTGGGCCTTTTGAAAGGTCTTTTCAGTCTTTTCTTGTTTCTTTTTTTTCTTTTTTGTACTGCTAAACGAAAATTATTATTATTATTATTTTTATTTTTTTATAAACCTTCTCGCATTTTCTTCTTATCTATGTTATGTGTATATTCTTTTCTTAGTCTTCTTATGCCTCAACTAAACAACAGTTGCCTTTCGATTCACCTAATTCACCTAAAAGCGGATTCGTTATCTTGTTTGTTGTTACCCTCCCACACGTGATAAATTAAAATAAATAGATATAATATTTACACATTTTCATAATTCACATTCATACTAATTTACTAACCTATACTACAACTAAATTGGAGGTAGGAAGATTATCGTGATCTTGCGGCCTCCTGTCTTTCACACTAATAAATACGTTCAAACTGTATTTACAAGTCCCACTCACACACTAACCTATCCTAATCTAAATTGTTTGACGGGCCTGTGGAGTACTCGATATTCCTCGACAGCCACGTCCTTTCACGCATCACCTCTCACGCTAATAAATACATTCATTCTGGACAAGCCACTACACTTTGGAAGTATAGTACCAACGAAATGCCAATGACCCGTCCCTCACATCATACTACAAATATATAACATATCTATACTAATTTGGTGGGCCTGTGGGTACTTGTTATTCCGTCACACCCATGCATACTTCGACATTCACGCAAATAAATACATTCATACAAATAGGAGGAATGTACCACGTGTGGTGGGTTATATATAGCTATATACATTGATTAATTTTAGGTAATCAAGGACCTACCGTTTATAATCACTGTTGTGCTTAAGTACTTTTGTTATGTCATTAGGAAGGCCACACCGTGCTCTTTGCGGCGCTAGTTGTTCGTATATGTGTGTATATTTGTTTTAATTATATTATTTGGATATAGTTTGAACCTTGTTATTTTATATTTGATGGTTATAAAGTGTACGATTGGACAATTTACAATTGTTATTACAAACCAAAACATCAAATATATCGAGGAGGAACTTAGGATATCAAATAGATGGACATCAAATTAATTTACCGCTCGAATGAGGTAGACGCCTTGTATTTACTTTGCAAATTGTAAAGACAGCCTTAATGCTTGATGCTGACCACTAATACACTCAGACCAATTTCAATATTTGCACTCGGTGAGGAATGGAACACGGGAAATGGATAAATTATATCGTATGTAATGCGTAAAGATTCAACGTCAAAGACTTAATTTAAACCAGTTGAACAATGAAAATCCACAGAATTTCTCTGAATCCCGATTACCATTTTAGCTTTGTCCTTACGACGAAGAAGCACCTATATAAAATATTTAATTAATTAATCGACGACCTTAAACGCAATGAGATAATAGTGAGTTGAAGTACTTGAAAGACTTTCCGGATTTATCAAATCTCCCACTCCCAAGAGCATTCTCACTCCCAGAGATGTGGGGAGGAAAAAAAGAAGGGTGGCCTAGTATCTATTAAACTAGTTTTTCGGTCCACAGGGGGGGATGCTGCTGACCTTTTGGCCCATCTAACGGTACCGCTGGGAAAGGGTTGGATGACCGTCTCACAACTTAGTGCACGTTGGACCAAAGAGAAGCTGCGACACGGGATCGTCAAAGGTAAGAAATCAGTTTTATTTCAACGATATTAACGAAATCCTTGTTGATAAAAATTATAGTCGAGATAATTCAAAACTAAACAAGGTCGAATTATTTTTACCTTGTACGGCTGTGTTTATTTTGAAATTGTTTAATAGTGGAAAACTGACTAAAATGAAACATGTCTATTATCCATTTCTCTAGGTGATTTTTATAAAAAAGTCCTTCCAGTAAAGTAACTTTTTTTAAAAAACAATACGGATCCTTTTTAAACACCCTTAAATACTAATTTTTAAAGCAATAAAATCATGAAGATTTTGGGTTGGATCCGCAGGGTTCACTTTTTTCTCCGACGTCCCGTGTTCCACTTAAAAATTCATAACGCCTCTGGAATTTATCCCAAATCTAGTATCGTAGACTATAACTGTGTGTTGATTAGTGATCGTTAGTCGATGATTATTCGGAAATCGTGAGATGCGGTCTGGTGTGATGTAGGTTTAAGAAAAACATTTTCTTTATCGTGCCAACGTTTCCAGCTTTATTGAGATCATCTTCAGGGCCTGAGATTTACAAACATTGTTTAAATTTAACAAATACATGTAAGATGTGGAAAAAAGTGAATTTATACAACGCAAAAAAATTGTGAAGATGATCTCAATAAAGATCGAAACGTTGGCACGATAAAGAAAATGTTTTTCTGAAACCTACATCACACCAGACCGCATCTCACGATTTCT